CTCCATAGTCTTTATCAACTTACATCTCTCGAACCTCTGTTTCAGTATAACCCTAATGATAAACGAAATGGCATCATACTACTATTTCGTTCTTTAAGAACTTTACAATGACGTTGAATACCAGAACAGAGTCAGTTGGGAAAAAGAAAATTGCCTTATTTGCCTGATCAATTACTAGGACTAGGAAATGTGGAATAACCAAAAAGGGACAAGAAATTAGAAATTGTAAACAGTTACAAAAGACGAAGGAATAGAATAGTCTAAAATGTTATTTTACATACCAGCATATATTTGTAAGTTGACAGCAAAAGATGTGAACTACATGTTCTTTGAAGCATATCTTTACAAATACTGTGTCGTTTTGTTCTATAAAGCAGCTACACCACTCAATGTATCTGTGGTCTGAAATCGGCGGACGAATTGCGATTTCACTATTTTTTTTTATCTATCAATCTGTAAAGTGTCTAATTTCAAAAACGTAGAGAAAACGTAGAGACTACAAACAAAATGTCATTCTAATTATACTGGTTTAATCGATTCAATGTGTCGTTTTCAAATACATCAGCGACGAATCTAGAAAGTTTAGTTTCATGGTGATGATAGAGTCCTCAAAAGAGCCGATGTTTTAGAAGAGTATCAGTGAAATGGTAATACATGTACCGCCTGTAGATAACAATGTGATGCATTGTATTAGGTTACGAGCAATATCCGTTACATATTCAGATAAAGAGCATGTTTACACTTCAATTATCATTTCAAAGTCCGGGAATAGCAATATTATTGAACCTCATTTTTTCAAAATATAGGTTTTCTTTATTTCACAGTAAATGGAACTCGAGATATGTACTTGTGACCCCATTGAAATTCAACTAGCAAGTGCAGTCCATAGGCACTGTTTCTCCAAAGTTATGTAAACTGGACGTATCTGTGTTTCATGTTACACCAGACATTTGTTTTCATTGATGAAACGATCTATGTATCACTTATCCTTTCGACCTTCCCCAACCTTGAAATGACGTTGTAAAATAAAAATAATAAACCTTAAACTAAAAAATATTAACAAGTAGAAGATAGCATGGATATCCTTCAAAATGTTTAGAGAAGATAGATAAAGTTAGTTACTCCGGAAGAGTAATGTTCTTTCTTCATTTTGGTCCTTAGCATTACTGACGAGTCCTAGAAGGACGAAATAGTTGCAGTTTAAATCATTGTTTGGCCCCACTGTATCTCACACTTTGTGTTAAATGGCGCTATTAACTTGTGTGACTTTTGTACATCAACGACGCCCGACATGTAGATCCGGGTAAGTCTCATACAAGATCGATGATGCTAAGGCAAAATTTGAACAAAGTCAATACGTAATTCGATACTTCATGGTCCTCAATGTGGTGAAGTGTGTTGGGACAACGAAATTTAAAGACAAATTATTAGAATAATGAAGCACAATTTCACACTTCATATCCAGCGTCGAAATAAATCATTTTCCACCAAGTTCATAATGGCAACAATTAAGGTTGATTTAAGCATTCATAAAACAGCATGTTTCGTAATCCTGTGATTGGTGCCCTTCAGCAATTAACGTCTATCAAAGTAACTATGATATATGAAGCAACCCTGAAGTGTCTAAGCTAGCTACCACAGGACTGGTGGTCAACCCAATGTTCGCGAGCGGAATTGAATTTCTTACAAGTGTTATATGGCTCAGTAGTATGTTATCTGTTGAACTAATTCTATAGTTCGAGATAAGTTGTGAAACCAGTGAGTCTACCTTAACAATGATAATGTCATACATTGTTTTGCAATGTTGTATCTTAATTTTTATTTGTATTGAAATGAACTATTATCTTGGATGTTTTCTGCGCAATCATTGATCAGGAGTTCAATATGAATTATCTCAACAATAAAGATATTCTAACTTTAGCAAAAGAAATTGTTGATAAAGCCAATTTTTTATTGAAATCTTCCATAAAATGTTTCTTTTACTTTCCATTTTCATTTCTCCAGTAATTTCAACCTTTCACGAAAACACATCTCACAAGAAAAAAGGCACAGAATATTTGTGTAGATTTGTAATCATTCGGGAAGAAAAATAGCATTACAGCGACGGTCATAAGGACTAGTACCATTCTCACGGTTCCTAATTCAAGATTATGTGTTATTTTGCAAAGACTGCTGCCAAATAGTTAAAATATCATATTGATGTGACTTTGCTAAGAAATAAAAGCTCTAATAATTGAAGTACTTTCATGTTCTCTCACACAGGTGTGTGGAATACAACGTTTAAAACAGAAATATTCACAGTAGGAAACATTTTATGTTCAGTAAATGGTTACATAACAAATGATCTTTTGAATTTAGACTTTGATACTATTAGCATCACATACTTTGATTTGATGGTTTTATATTGGTAGGTAGAGGTAACATCGTGGTTTACTAATTGCAGATCAGGCACTAGATAAAATTTGGTCTATCGCCAAATTTACAAATATGTAGGGTTTCGATGGTAATCAGATAAGCCTAGTTTATATTATCTGTTATATACATGTAAATACTTTTTTTTTTTTTTTTTTTTTTTGTAAATTCAGATTTTTCAATTGATGTGACTAAGAGATTTCTATACCTTCCATAGTTTTACATTTTCACATATCTAGGCACGTCCGGCCCAAGTGTCTTTCACTACTTATCCATGTATGTAAGGGTATTACGTGTTATTCGGTCTTGGTACTTTCAGTCGTGGTAGACCTTAAAATTTAATGACACAGTATTGAAAGACAAGTATATGTACCACTAGATATTTGTTGTACGTCACAACTGTGTGTGGAAACCCTCTTCTTATAGAAGAGGTAGGTACACCGTAGTTTTATCATATATTGTATATTAACGAATGTCATTAATTTAGTAATTTCATGTGATTCATTGTCAGATGTGAAACTGGTAAATTCTTTTGTATTATTAGAATTATGATAACAGTTAAATGTAACCTTTTTTTAAATATTTTGTAATAGTTTATACGGCAGAACGTGTAAGCGTTAATTACAGTGAGAATATAAAGGTATTCATCCATGTATAAGTTATTATGGAATTGTATTTTAATCCTATGTAATATGTTTCATGTTTTAGGGTTTTTTCATCCCTTCGCTGATTAAACGTGATATGATTGAGAACCCTCAGTTGTGTGTTGATCCCTCGGAAACACGATAATAGTCATTACGAATAACGTTTATGTAGTCATAACGTCTTCGATATTCTTGTCTTTAATTTATCATTTCCTTATAGTAGCAACACTGCTTTACCACAAGTATTGCTTGTACTAAATGTGTAAAGTTATATCATTTTTTAATTTTTTATATTCCAATTGAAAATATGAACATCTTATCATTAAAACCTGTATAAAAACTTAGTTGTAGCTCAAAATTTCGAACACTATATAAGTGGTGAGTATCACTTCCAGAACAGGTCTTTATTTCTATAGAGTTTGATATCAAGTATATAAGATTTGTGAAGAGAACTTAATCTAACCATCGGCTTTTTGGGTTTGCTGAGTTTTGTACCGTATATTCTAGTATGTCGGCCTCTATTGACTGGTGGAAATGTTTACTATAGGTTACTGTTGTTGACATAGTTGACTTTATAAGAGTTTCATGATATTCAGTATAGAACTCGCTACTTCATTGTATTGTCATGAAGTCTCGGACCCTGTTTCCAACAATCTCTCTAGGAACGTTTCAGATAAACACTTTCGTTCTGGTTATATGAAGAGAGGTGAATGCTACTTATATCGAACATGACGGACATCAAATGGTTAAATGTAGTTTCCGGTTGATTGGTACTGTTGATGTCTACGACTACAGAAGCGTTGGTTTTTACAGTCCTTCATTTACTAAATGTTTTGCTGAATTCAATCTTCAGCTCCACCCGGTGTATTAGTGACTATTTGCAAAGTGAGCATTTGGCAACAAATGCCATGTGATAAAAACAGTTATTGACATGTTTTCAGGTGAATAGAAGGTTTTATCAACCCGAGGTGATATCTAACGAAGCCGTAACCCAAGAAGATTGATAGGATCAAGCTTGAGGGTAGGCCAACATACTATAAATAGAATACCGAGACCAATATATCCTGACAAATATGGATACAAATTCCGGTAAATGACGACTTTTATTTTACCGATTTGTCATCTACATTAAACACTGTATAGAGACAATGGTAATCATTGCTATAGTGCATTTAGAATTGATTTGTATAACAAAAATGATCAGATACTATCTCACAATAATATCAAACTGATCTTACACAATATCATTCTATCACGTGTCTCACGTTTCAAGTCGACAACTTCCGGTTTAGCACGTGTTAATGTTTTGAACATGCAGGCCGTCTTACCCCGCAAGAAAGAGATATCTTATCCATACCGGAAGTGTGGATATATCTGTCCGATAGGATAGAAATTATTTCTCTGGGCAAGGTGCCCCGGGAAATATCATCTTCTTGAGTTTTCCTTATCACCCGAAAACAGGTCAACAATTGTATAATATTCTTCAAATGGTTCCAATTCTAAAAGAGACTTTCATCTATGCCGGCTTCATTGGAGAAATCCCAGGTCTTGCTGTAGAAATGATTGGAACTGAAATATTTCTCAAGTTATATCGTAGCAAACTTTCTTTTTGGATCCACGAATTAAATACCAGAATTCAAAGAATTTGTGTTCATCATTTGTATTTTTCCAACGAGAGATATTATGAGCGTAATGGGCGAATCTTTATACATATCTATGTAAAGATCATGTTTGATAAAAACAATCTGCATATATAAACAATAAAACAAAAAAGGAAACACAGAAACGTTAAATTTGTTCAATAAATAAGTCAGCCCCGCGGAGTTCTGAGTCATAGATTTGTTCACCCAGTTCTTGTCTTAGATAAAAATCACCATGATTTATATATAAACACTACTGTACAAGAGTCAAAAATATATGCTATCTGATATTAGTCCATTTTCATTATTTATATACATTTCTTCCCAGTCTGAGCATGTGCATGCCGCGTGTTTCCACACTGTGTTCAGATTCTGATCCACTATCATCAGTGTCCTTTTTACCCAAGCGCATCATGCGTAATGATCTTTTTCCGTCATCAGGGCGTTTGCCGAGACGAAGCATGCGCAAACGTTTTCCAAGACGGAGCATACCTAGAGATCGCTTGTCGTCGCCTTTATTAGCTTCTTGTTGGAGTTCACTTCTGCCAAGCCTGAGCATGTTCATTCCTCGTTTTCCAATTCTCCAAAGGTTCATTCCCCGTCCGAGCCTAAGCATATGCATTCCGCGTTTGTCGGCATCGTCTGTTTCATCAGATTCCTTCGTAGGATCAAGAGTATAAACGTAGTCGTACATGTCGTCACGCCCCAGCCTTGGCAAGGGCACAGCACGCTCGCCACCGAAAATTATTCGCCCAAATCTCGGAAGCGGTAGTGCCTTTTCCTCTTCGTTTTTGTCTTCTTCTTCATCTTCGATATAATTTTCTTTCTGTTCATCCTCCTGTTTGTCCTGTGTATCTGTAGATCGCCTGAACCTCCCCGGACGCGGTGCCAGTCTGATTTGTCGGGGTGACTCATCATCAAGATCGTAAATGCCTTCGGCACCGTCATCGAAGGACGTTCTGTCGGAATTGATGTGATCAAACAGCCACTGAAGTTCATTATCCTCACGACCGTACCTGGGAAGAGGGACCTGTCTCCGATGGTTGAACTTGTCCCCTAAAACTGATACTAATAGGTATTTTAGTTCATCTGAGCTCAAAGTGTCCAGCGATCTGCTCATCCTAGGTATGGGCATATTACGTTTTCCTAGTCGAAGCATCTGAAGACCGCGTCCTAAACGCAACATACTGAGTCCTCCTCGTCGTACTCTGTTTAACGGGGATCCAGTTTCTTCCGATGTGCTGTCATCTTCAGTGGAACCTGAAAAATGGAAACAAAAAGAAAGATAAGTTACACGGTATTAAACATTGTACAAAAGACGCACAAGTGAATGGCACATTTCAGTACAAAGTAATGATTAGATACGAAAACGTTAAATCAATCAGAAAACACAATCACACAGCTATTCCTTCTTTCTAAGACTTGTCAGTGATGATAAGGGCCTAGATTTTAAGACCTATGAGGCAAATGAGAGGAAAATCCGACGTGACTGGGGAAATGTCAAAATCTAAATAAGGAGGTGCTTTTGTCCCATTTGATAATTTCAAAAGAACTTCAAGTTCAAGTGTGTATTCTGAACCGTGTAAACATTAGGGGTGAAGCAATAATGATGGCATAGAAGAAAACATATTTTATCACAAAAGTGGCGAACACCAAGCATTTTCGATACTTTTGAAGTCTTTTGAAAAACTATAATGTCTTGAAATAAAATAACTATTGGTTATTTAAGAGTGCTTCTCTTGCTGCAGTCCGTACACAAGACGACTGTTTAAAAATCTTTCGTTTATCTATTAAAACTAGTTATACCCGCGATATCGCCAAACCTTCCTACAAATTGCTGTCCTCCCAATGTTGGCTTTCACACGATTTTTCTATCAATCGAATAACTGTAGAAATAACGTAAAGGTGAAGTGTATTGTGTGTGTGTGTGTGTGTTTCCCCCCCCCCCCCCCTTTTTTTTGTATTTTAATCGGAAGTAAGTCCAGACACTTCAAAATTTGCGATAAGCATGAGTCAATAATCTATTATTTTGATTATAGATCTAGAAACAATAAAGAAAAAGCGCAAATATTTGTCTTCCGTAAAAAGAGCAATAGCACACTCACAGCGTGTAAACGTAATGTATCGACAATTGAACGAAAAGGAAAACATAGTGAGAAAATTTGCTCGCCAGACAACATCGACACGCGTCACTGTTAATACAAAGCTACCGAGCAACACTTAAATGGCGTGTACTATTTAGTTGACGGAGTGTTTTTGACTGGTTGGAAGGCTAGAGGAGTTGTAAGATAAAGTTTGCTGTCAATGAAATGGTCATTTGTCACAGAGATGTGTAAAGCGTGGCGTCTTACAAGTTTGTCGGTAAACAAGGAGTGCGGAATTATGTACTCACTGTCTCGCTAAACCGATGTTATCCAGAGGATCTCAGCTAATTACTTAAGATCGATTAGATCGGAGAAGGGATTTGTGCGTGAAAGAAGGGTAAAAGTCATAGAAACGCAGTATTTCATACTTGTTCCAAATAGCAATGCCCAGTTTATACCAGTTTATTTTTTTGAAAAGAAGGAAAATATTTAAGAAATATAAATGTTTAAAGTTTAATCTTATAACATGAGGTCTTTTGTCTCACATTTTGGCATCGTGTTCGTAAATTCCATAGATTTCGATGTACGCTCCTGTATTACAAAATGTATATTTCTAAAACTAAATGTTACACGTTAGTTTTGGGGAAATCATTCAAAAAACATATCTGAAATGCGAAAAATATAAACCTGTTCCTCTTCCCCCTCCCAATACAGCTGTGATTCGTTATGCATGTAACGGATTTAAAACGCTTTCATTAGAATAATCTGTTTAATGGTATGTTCTCACTTGAATATATGAACGACAGAATGGATGCACGTAGTTCATGCGTCTCAGTGACGAGGTCAGACACGTGATTTCAGCTGATTGCGTACTGAAATATGATAATACCATCAGTGATTCGTCACCGGAAACAGATTAATATATCAGAGCATGTTCGGGAATCGCGTAATCAGAAAAGCGGAGAATTCCGGCAATCTTTCAAACAAATCTCTTGTTGAAAGTAAACTAGCTGTAGTCGTAATGTGGAAAATAATTTATCAATAAGCATACCAACACGGGCGTGTTGCCTTTCCCGGATATGTTCAGATATCATACCGTTAAATTGGATTCTGCAATATCAAAGATTATTAACGCAATGTTTGAATTTAACACTTTACTGAATATTTATATCTAAAATGTTTAGTTTAATGTGAATCAATAGCACGTGGAATCAGATAAATATATCGGAACAAATGGAAATTCGATAAATATTTAATCCGAATTCGAAATTGGATTTCTATCGCGTGTATCAGGTAGGACACAGGAAGATGGCAGTACAGCCTTCGCTGACGCAGAAAAAAAAAGTGTTAATTTTTTATTAGTTCAGCTTGGCGTGAATCCTGTACCAACACACATACTACAATTTTATCGGGCTATTTCAGGACAAGAAAGTCTTAATTCACAGAAAGGTCTCCTAGGGGTTGTTGCAATCACCGAGAAGTCAAGGTTATGAATCCAAAATTGAATCAGAGTGTCCGCTGGTAAAGTCTGATTGTATTACTGTCGTATGATATAGGTAGGATTGCTTGTTTTTACATGTGGGCCTACACCCACTTAAAAGTTCTTCATTTTCATATAATATCTATTTCACAATCTCTAAAATACATACATCCTGATGCATGTGCAATGTATTTGAATATTTTACTATTTGCAGTTTTTGCTTTTTTGTCTCTAATTTGTTATTTATTTATTTAAATTTTCTATAGAATTTCTTCATTGTAAAATATTTTCAAACCCACAAATAGAATCTTTCCTTTGTGGTGATAAATGTGTAAGGCAGGAATACACATTAATTCAAAAACACCGCGATGGGATTTATCAAAGCGATATCCATATTACACATTCAAACAGCTAGCCTGATAAAGGCTTGCTTGACCGTGTAAAGCGTCTTGTATCTTAACTATAGTGGCATATCTTTCCATTTTGGATTTCCATTACTGTAACTACGGATTTATCGCTGAAAAAGACGTTCATATCTTTAACTCATCTGACTTTTTTTTTTTTTTAAATTGATTTTTTTATTTTTTTTTATTTTTTTTTTGGGATGGGGGGAAGCTGCAAAACAACCATGCGAATGCATCTTTATCAAAACCATGTCCTCGCGCCAATGTGTAACTTACACGCCTCAGTTCTGTTTGTATAGTCATGAGGGGAGATAATCAATAAAACTCCTTTCTAAGGAAATTGGTAATGATTTGCAACCGATTCACAATATTTTCAGACTGCGTGTCTTTACAAAATATCATCAATATATGTTGTTTTTCGTTTAGCAATAAAACATTTGATCGTACTGGTTACGAATTGATCAGTTTGTCCACTAAGAAAGTCGACGACCATCATTCGGCAGATTCCCTCTCAAGTACAGTAGCATATGGAATAAAATTCGCCTCGCATTGTCAGAGTAAGCTACCCATAATCCCATAAACTTTATCCTGATGATTTTTAATGGCACCCCCGCCGTGTTACGAGATAATTGCTCATAAAACAATGTCATCTACATTTCTGTGGAGGTTTTGGCAAACAATCACAGGTGCCTTAACTGCCTTTTTCTCCCAGGGCCGGGCGCTGCGCGTTCACAACAAGCCCGCGGTGACGTACAAATTAAGTCGTTATAAGTGTCCGTATTGGCTTTGTACGTTTTATGAACGTCACGGAAACACCGAAGACAATAAAAGGCGAAAATCTATGAACACTCGAGGCATATGGATTACTTACTGGATCAGCTAAATGGTATACCCATTCATAAATGTATAATGTTTTAATGTTAGATCATAAATAAGATTGATAGATTATAAAACCTAACAGTTCGTGTCAGGAGAGGTAATATGAAATTATTATTTTTCCTTAAAGCTTGAAAATCGAAGTTTTACAATGCAGGATGTAATTTCCCAGTCAAGGTAACATTTTTTTTCTCTGTCTATCCGACATTAATCAGGCCACGGTTCGACGAGATCGGCCATTACCGGCCATTTTGTTCTTGAAGTCGAGCTATTTGTGTGCCAATCTAGTGTAATAAGGTGACCTGACAGCCTCGTTGACTTTATCACACATGATTAATGTGGCACCTACCACATCCTTTCCACATAAAAGTCTTTGAATTAGTTGTAGAGAACCTTCCTTTTTATCATATAACGGTGAAATATATCTGTTTTCATATGGCAGTCTCGCAGAACATCCGGTCTTTGTACAACGTGTCACTAGTTTCTTAGAATTTACCCTTCTTTCTCTGTTATGAAAGAGTATTTCTATCCACATCTTAAACATCCTTATGTATTACTTTGTGTTAATTCTTTTTGGTATGCTTTCTACAAAACATAATTGATTTCTGTGTTTGCAGTATTAAGTCAAGTCAAACGATGAACACGTTTCCGTCATTTTTTGGTTGTCTTCAATATTGATGTTGGGTAAACATAATTTTAGTTGACTGTCAGGATTGCAGAATTAATTCTATACCAGGCCACCCAACGGATGCAAAAACCAAATAATGACAATTGATCCAAAAGCCAGCGTGTTTAACCATATTAAACAATTTATTGGTGTTAGCTGTGCTCTTCAATATACAAATGTAGTTATAGTTGCATTTAAGGTTTTTTTTTAATTAAATCTTTATTCAATCGTGATTCAGTGATACCTTTGTTTTCCTGTTTCCTGTACACTTGTTGTTGATTTCGGTATTATATGTATCACGTCCATTAACACTAATTCCAGCGAATTCTAGTTGTTTAAACATGTACTGTCCGGTGACAGGTACCCAGTTAATTGAGCTCGGCACTTCGACAGTCTCCGCTGTACGCAGTATTACAGGCGATAATGGTTAGTTTCTGTCCATCATCATTAATATTAATATCTACTTTACTTTAATTCAATAATAAGTTAATACCTAGGCTTGCAGCAGAAGTACCGGAAGTGAGAAAAGGATCCTATTCAATGTTAGGATAATGGTAGTGAGTAGTATGTGATGTTCAGAGAGGAGACGGACAAAGAAATGCGGATTTTCCAGATTAACGTTGGTAGTTATTGTTATCACGTGACAGGTCATTACATTGTACTTGACTGCCCACGATGTTTACCTGAATATGACTTAATCTGACGTGATTTCTGACTATAATTCGTACACAACCTGCGTTCGGTGAGAA